ATTATTTGTTGAAACTGTACTTTCGATTTGATTTGAAACTGTCTCATTGCTATATGTTTATCAATAAAACTTTGAAAATAAAAAAAAATAAAAACAATTCAGAAAAAAAAAAAAAATTCAGAAAAACTCAATACTACTGTCCAGATTATAATGTGGCACTATGTGTTGAATGTTTTAAAATACACTATCCACAGAAAAAGTATTGAATAAATTTGATAAAATTGTCATTTTTATAGTTTATTATATTATCTTACAAAAATTAATGCAAATAAAATAAAATTTAAGGGGCCAGGGAGATAGCTCAGTAGAATAAGCACTTGCCTGGCAAGTGCACGGCCCTGAGCTCAATCCCTGGTACCACAAAAAATAAATAAATAAATAAATAAAATAATAATTTTAAAAAGTATGCAATTTTTGGTCATCCTGTATTTAAATAAAAGGACTAGTAAGTGGCTAAAAGCTCCAATCTATTTTGGAAGTATTTGTCAAAATAGGATACATTTGATGGTATAGGTGACGATTACTTTCATGTTGGTGACCTAAATGATTAAGGAAGGGTCTCAAATATTGTATGTCTTCATTAACTGGTTACTCATTTTTTAAAATACTTCTTGAAATTACTTTTCTAGTTGAACAATTTCTTGGTGCCTCAAGATCAACCTGTATCCTCAAAAAGTACAGTGCCATATATTAAGCGCAATTGACCAGTATGTGTCTGGCCCCTTGCTCAAACACTAAAGTCACAAAAAAAATTAAAGTCACAATCATAATAGTTTGCTGAAAACAAGGTAGGGTTCTCAGGGGCTATCTCAGACATGGGTATCTCTTCATAATCTTGAAACAACAAAATGAGCATCTACCAGTAATCCATACAACCAGCACTCACCGAGAGATCTCAGCCACTGACTCGCTGGGGGAGACAGCACTTGAAGAGCACTCAGAATCCCCTGGAGGAGGAAGCGCAGAGAAGGCCAGTCTCAAAGAGGCTACCACATACGCTCACCAAGCCTATGTCGTTTTCTTTCCTCAACACTCTGGACTCGGCTCTCTTAGGAAATGTCAAGTATCACCCAGCTACCTTGCACTCCCTTCCTCGAGTTCAACAGCAGCAGAGCGAAGGCAAGACCAGTGGGTAGAAAGACCAAAGATCCAACTCTCCTAGCTCCCCGCTGGAGCGCCCCCAAAGGAACTGATTCATGTGGGTGATAATGTGAGCCAAACCAAGCATACATTATGAGCCTTCTTTCACAACAGGTTGTGACAACGGTTGGAGATGAAAGGCTCCCCTACTCACCCTCTTCATTCTCATCATGGCTGCAGCAGTCTTCCACACCATCTACTAGTTCTTCTGTATCTTCAGCCTCAGCCTCTGCCTGGTTTGGCTGGAGGTCAGCAGCTGAACTAAAAGAAAGAATCATGACACCAGCCAGCCTACTCCATGACAGAAGTCACAGCTAGAGTCTTATTCCTACATCTTCTCCCAGTATTTGTCTCTTTACTGTCACCAGTCTGACTGGTTTCTTTTCCCTGGAGCTCATTCTTCTCACCAACAAAGTTTAAATCTAACCATAGTGCCTTTTATTCCTCATCCACACACAAGCATTACATTTTCCATTTTTTAAAATGCTTCATAATATACAAGTACAAAATCCTTCATGCAATAACTTGGCAGTGAATATCTAGTAACTGATTTCAAATGTCCCTTGGCCACCTGCTAAGAACTCAGAAGATGGCTTTGGTGGACCAAAGTTTCAGAACAGTAACAAGGCACAAGAGAAGGAACCAACCATGTCTATGCCCCAACTCTGTATGCTGTCATACTAGGAATGATCTGGCTTAGAAAAAGTAGGAAAGTCACAGAACCACAATTTGACCCCAATTGATGACTGGCATTCTTAGTTTTCTCCTGATTAAAATCTAAGATGGGTTAACAAACTCTTTCTATAAAGAACCAGATAGTAAACATTTCCAGTCCACCACAACTATTCAACCCTATCATTTTAACAAGAAAGCAACTACAATCACTAGTAAATAGACAAGGATGCACATCAATAAAATTTTATTTATAAAAGCAGGCAACCAGCAAGAATTAGCCTGCAAGCTATAGTTTCCCAACCAATAAGTGAAAATCAAAAATTCTAAGACATCTAAAAAAATAAAACTAACCTTTGGGAGAAAAGGGCCAGTGTCACTGGACTATGGTATATCCATTATATTTCTCTAAATAAACCAGAAATTGTTCTCTAACTTACCCAACTGCAGGTGAGTCCAGCTCCCTGGCTTCCTTAGGCTCCTCCTTCTCAGGCTGGCCTAGATGGATGGAAGAGAAGCGGGTGGCCACTTCGGCTACACCAAGGGGCTGAAGGGAAGAAGGGAGATTGGGAGCTTTGTCTTCTCCAACTGGTAGGGAGTCAACTACAGACCCACAGGCAGGGCTGGGATTCAGCCCACTGGCATGTGAGGCAAGAAGGTGGATGCTGATCCTTTTGGTACAGAAGACTGTACTGTCCAACCCCACAGTGTCCGAGGCTCCAAGGAAGATCTTCCTGTTAGATCTAGCATCCTCCTGAGGAAACAGCTGGCCTACCACAGGAGGTTTCCTCTGCCTGCTCCTGCTGAGAAGGGTGCACTGGAAGTTGGGTTTCATAAAATAAGACTGTCCAAGCTGGTAGCCTTGCTGTGGCTTCTTCTCAAGTCCCTTTGCAGACAATCTCCTCGTAGCTTCAGTTAGCCGAACCTCTTTAGCCAGAGCCTGGGAATCAGAGTTTTCATTCAGGCCACAAGGGTATGGTTCTGCCCTCGTGGTTAAACTATTCCAGCTGTACTGGGAAGAGGCAACACTGGTGTTGGATGTGTTGAGGGACTTAGGGGTAGATGGAGTAATATGGATAGTGGCATCATCTGGGACAGTGCCAATGCTTTTGGGCACCTTCTGATCAACATGCTGGGGTGCACAGTCTCCAGTATCCCCTAAATGATGCCAAGAGACAGGCTGAATCTTGAGTGAGGATACTGGTTTTAGGCCTTCTGTGGCCTGGGAGAAAGGCACTTTAGTGCTATTTGGCCGCATGAAGGAGTTGTTATTCAACCTGGGCTTGTAGGAGGAAGACAGTGGAGATGTGATCTTCCCTGAGATGGCAGGGGCCAGGCTTGTCCTTGAAGGGTTTTCCCCAGCTGCTGCCAGTGAGAGGTATGGTTCTGTAGATGAGGACGCCATGGGCTGGGCCATGGGGAAGACTGTGAAAGAGGTGGCTTTATTGGCAGTGAGACTGACAGGGAGCCTCTTCTGAGGAAGAAAAAAGGGTCTTTTTTCTGATGGGCTTGAATGCAAGCAAAAAGACTTCAGTTGCTGGTATGGCTTGTGCCTATTGTTGGAGTGGCGGTACAGCAGGGTACTGCTGGATGAGTCTGGGGGACACTGCAGGTAACAAGAGTTGCTATGGCCTGCAATGACAGCTGTGGTGCCAGAGCTACATAAAGTGCTGGGGCAAAAGAAACAGGCTGGCTGGAGGGGGACTCCCAAGACACCTGGATGCAGCCCTGTTGACAATGTGCCCGTATATGTCTCCTCAGACTTCCAGACTGGCTTCACCTGCTGATGGGCCTGAGCCCAACCTTCACCCTCCGAGGGCTTCTCAGGTGGCACTGTGCCTGAGGGACTGCTCTGCTTGTGGCTGTTTCTGTGGCAGAGGCCAATACTGTGCTGCTCTGTTCCCGGTGAGGCCATGAGGGGCCCACATCATGGCCACGTGGCCTCATGGCCTGGCTCAGGAAAGGTGCCACACACCTCTAGTAGCACCAGCTGCATCCTTAGTCTGTCAGCCTGCAGAGGAGAGAAATAACTGGGAATATTGCTGCCCTGGGAGAATGAACACTATAGACACATTGGTCCTCAGTTGGGCAACTGCTCTTGGTCATCATTTGGGGCCCTGGGAGAATGTCACTAGATTTCCAGTGTGTTTCCAGGATCTCCTTGCAATCCTAAATCAATTTAAAATGGCTTCCTCAGGGACTAAGACTACTGTGAGGAAGGCTGTATATCCACATTCTCTTAGAAAGCTTACTTCTCTCTCCAAAGAAAAGTATCTCTCTCTGTCTCACCACCATGACTTTACCAGAGGGTCCAGATTCCCTCACCTAAAACCAGTGTAGGACGAAAGTAAGATGGGAAGTGGCAAAAGAATACCACTATCTTCCTCCTCGCCAACTAATTCTGGACAAAGATTACCTGAGAATGCCTTTGACCCCTCTGGATCCATAATCTAACTCTCAGCTGCCTCTGGTTTAGTCTGCTTTTCACAGTTAAGAATGACAGGTTCTTGGGACTCAGGTCAACAATTTCTAACATTGCCAGTTAAGCGGAAGACCCAATACTATTATGGGACACTGTACTCTTTTAGAATATTTTGCTGAGTTTACACACCTATAATACTCAAATAACGGAACTTAACAAAAAAAAAAAGGGTATACAGATAAATGTCCATTTTGTATCTGTATATTCAAAGTGGTTAGGATAGATATATAGTTACATTCTCTTAATAGAATGATTTGTTCGAATGGTGTTTGTAAATAGGATCTCAAGTCCGCATCTTGTACAGCAATTAACCACTAAGAAGAATGTACGCAGTGTGTTAATTATTGAAACTGTCCTACCAATTTGATTTGAAACTGTCTCATTGCTATTTATCAATAAAATTATGGCAAAAAAAAAAAAAAAAAAAAAAAAGAATGACAGGTTCAGACAGTGGAGAATTCCTCTGCTAACCCTAGAGTTTGTTCTGGAAGTGAGACAGCCCATTTTACTTCTTTAAGAATCTTACCAACCCTTCCAATTTAAATCCCAACCCATGTTTTGACAGGGAAAAGAAAAAAAAATGGAACTAAACATTATCTTTACCTTCAGTGACTACTACTAACAGCCACAATGGGACAGGAGCATTCAGGGAGTACGAGGAATAGAAAAAAGAAGTTTTCTTTACTTCATAGTTCATGGGTTACTCTCAGAGATGGAGAGCTTGTCACATATGTCTTCTTATTCAACATTTTCCCTTAATGCAGAATCTCTGAACAAGCCTTGTAGTTCTGGGTCTCAAACAACTTCTTCAGTATGGTCACTTCGTAAATTAAATTCACAATATACCCTCTAGTTCTCACCACTGCAGGAAAACACGGGTCTGCTTCCAGAAAGGCAACAAGGAGAAGAGGTGAGAAATAAAACCTGCCTATAAAGTCATTCATCTGGGATAATTCTGAGTAGAATTCTAATATCCTCATCAAAAGTGTTTTCAGAGTAGACAAGAAATAATAACACCAACAAATAGCTTGCAGAAGCCATGTGACATTGTCCTCTTTCCCTGTAAAACCTGACCTACATGGATTCTTTCTCAGGAGACTACAAAAATTCACATGACCCCCCAATATTCAAAACGATAGCAGACTAAAAACAGCATAAATGCTAAAACTAGATTTTGAGGTCAGTAACCTCAAAATGAGGTGACAAAAGTCCAAACTGTGGAAATGCTATGCAGGAGGCAATCAGCCTGTGTAGGCATGCTAGAGAAGCATACAGAACTGCCAACCACTTAACAAGACTGTGTGTGCGCATGCTCTGTGTATACGCAACAGATCCACAGTCCCAGCTCAGACCACTTTCAGGAACCCACATCCTGCCATGCCAACATAATGCACACAAGATATGGGAGAAAAGGGCTAAGGAAATGAGAACTCAGGCTGGCAGCCCCTGAAACCACTTCCTAGAGGCTCTCCATGTACATCACATGCTCTCACACTCATGCCTCTGCTGTGCTGCTTCAGGCCTTCAGTGGGTGGGTTATATAAGTGCACACACCTCGGCCTTCTCATCAATGGACAATCTCGCCTCCCTCATAGCTATCAGCACCCACCATACAACCTCTCAGGTTGGATAAAGACAATCCTTCTTTTATACACTGCAATGCCACACTGCCAAGTCTGCCTCTCTGCATCAAACCATGTGAATCCTCAGGCCAGAAACACTGAATACAAATAGCCCAACACCAGCTGGCTTGCCTTTTACTCCAAGTGAGGAAGAGGGAAGCCAACTAGGGACAGACCCCACCCTCCTCAGAACTGCAGGTGGCCTCCTCCCAGACAGTGTGAAGCAGCCAGCCAAGCAAGCGCCAGAGTAGGACGAATCAATTCTCTCTGACTGGTAGGATTTCCGAGCTGATGTCTCTGTAACGACCATTGCCATATTCCCTATGTGTGGGATGGCAACCTAAAGAAGGACTACCTGTCTCCCTAAAGAAAGACATCTGCATTTGAAGTCCAAACAGGTAAGATGTCTCTGTAAGTCCCTTTTTGTGGAGGAGCTCCATAGCTAGTCAGAGATTCCCAGGGCTCACTAAGATGGCAATGAGCAAACACCAAAGACAAATTTGTCATGTCAGATACTCTGCAGAGAGTAGCTTCTAGAACATGATGTATAATAAAACTATACAATAGGATTACATACAAGTGCTCCAACCTGGCTGTAGGATCTTTGGTTCAGAAGTAGTATCTGGCTGAGATCAGGAAATGATCAAGTTGTTTTACACAACTTCTTTGTTCTAGAGATTCCTAATGAAAGCAAAATTCCATGTGATGGGAAGCTGAGACACAGCTAGAACACTCAAGTAGGCAGTGTTCTAGGACCCCTGAGTACTTGCTGCCACAGTGCCTGCAGGAGTATGAGGAGCAAACTTAAAAAAGCTTTAAGCCAGGCACAATGGAACATGCCTATAATCCCAGCACTCTGGGAGGCTGAGGCAGGATTGTAAATTTAAGCCCACCCTGAGCAACACAGTAACTTACTGAGGCTCTAACTCAAGATGGGGGTAGGGTTAGAGATGTAAGTCAGTGCAAAGGCCTTGGGCCCAACTGGGGCCCAATTGGGTGTGGGGGTGGTGAGAATACTTTTCTAAAAGCAGTCCCAAGAGGGCGGGCCAAATAACTCAAAGAACTAAAGCACCTGCAAGCAGATGCAGCGGCTGAGGGTTCAATCCCTGGGCCTGCCATGCTGGAGCAGCCCCTGGGGCATGCTGAAACTGTGATTGAGACTGGACGTGGTGGCATGTGCCTGTAATCCCAGCTCTTGGGAGGCTGTAAACAGGTGGATTACTACTAGTCCAATCTAGTAGTGAGACTCTGCACACCCTGTAGACCCTTCCCTAAAATAAAAAAAAAAAAAAAAAAAATTTAAAAATAAATAAATGATTTTTTAAAAAAAGGTAGGGCCAAAGATATAGCTCAGCAGCATAGCAGCTGCCTGGCAAGGGCAAGGTCTTGGGTTTGATTCCTAATACCCAAAACAAAACAAATTGTGAGTTCAATTCCTGATACCAAAAAAAAAGTCTAAAATAAAATCTAAGAATCTAAGAAGCTGAGGAAACAATAAAATAGTTTCAAATGTTATCATAGCAAGAACATAATAGTCTTATAGTTCTAAACTAATAGTTCTACCATAAAGTTAAATTCCAGATAGCCAAATAATTTGGCACCGAGCCGCCAAAGACAGTTCACATTCACAAGGCAGTTTCAAGCAAGATTCAAGCCAGGGCAACAATGTCTGGAAGACCTTTCTCTAAGATTCCTTAAATTTCTAAGAGCACTGTCACAGTATACCTCGTGCGCCTATGTGCCTTTAGGATCCAAGCGACAAGCTGCTCATCTTTTAAGCAGTATGATAAGATGAGACAACAAACAAAAGAGAACAAAGAGAAAATGTATCTATACATGTAGAAGGCCATTCCCAGGCCACTGATGAAAGCTTCAAAACACCTAACTTAGGCAGACAAGGTGACCACATCCCTGCACCCCCGGCTACTTTGGAGGCTGAGACAAGAGGATCACAAGTTCAACGTCAATCTAAACAACTTTTTACCTGTCTAAAAATAAAATAAATAGGGCTGGAGATGTAGCTCAGCACTCTCGAGGTTCAACCTCCAACTTTAAAACCCTTTAAACAAAGTTAAAACATATAAAGAGTTAATGGCACGTAAATTGCAAGTTTCATTGTTTTTGTTCAGTGTATATACTTATTCATACTGCTTAAAAGATAGGCAAAGGCTAATCCTAGCATGCAGGAAGCTGCAGCAAGAGGACAGCTATAAGCTAAGGCCAGCCTGACTACATCTTGAGCTCAAGGCCAGCCTGAACTACATAGAGACCCTGTCTTGAAAGAAAGAAGATGAAAACAAAAGGAAAGCTGTTCATACTCACTGCCTCTGATGTTCAAAGGGTCCACCATCAGCTGACCCTCCAGCAGCTCACAAGGAACTTACTTTAGGAGTCAATAAACCGCTTTTCACCTGGAAAATAACATTTTGAGTAATCTAATATTTTACAGACTTAATGACCAAACATGTTTCTTGTTCCTACATATGATCTCTGGGGAACAGGAGGGCTTAAGGGTCAAACAGGGTATGAATACTGAGCTATGTTCTGTAGAATTCAAGCTTAGAAGAAAACACATCTGTTTCTGTGGCTAAATTCTTCAATCTAGGTCCAAAGGGGAAACTGCCCAGATGAAAAGCAAGGTTAACTAAGAGCAGAGTAGTTGAGGAGAAAATTCTTGGGAACAAAAGTCCCTCTAAACAGCTCTCAGGACATCTGAGTAGTGTGCAAAATCAAAGGTCTGGGAGAATATACACACCACTGTTAACCGGGTCACCTTGGCAAAGGGGTGTGATGAAGGGCTGGGCACAGGAAGGTGAGGGGGGCTGTTTACTTCAAGGCCTCTACATTGTTTGATCTTTGAGCAAGAAACACATGTATTACTTATGTGAAGTTTCCCAAGAGCCTCAGGGCACGCCTCCTTCCCCCAGCTGTGCTGTATCAGCAGCTACCACCTCCCTGTGACTCCTACAGAGCAGGGCAGAGCAAAGTGCTGGTCAGCAGTGACTCCCATTCAATGCTGAACCCACACAGCTGGAATGTTCCAGGAAAGACAGGAGAGAAGAAGAGCCACTGAATAGTTGTGAAAAACCAAGTTAAAAAGCCATATAAAACATAAAACATCATAGTACCTGGCCCCAAATAAACATTCCTGGCCTGGTAGTTACTGTGCTCATTCTTATTGGCACCTAGTGATCTCCTCTTCTCCCCTCAGTCCTTTCACAAGTTGCCACAAGGGGAAAAATACAAGCAGCGGGCAATTATTCCAAAACAGAATTTCGGCTAGGACCCTCAGTTTTCTTTTACAAAAGACATAACTGCCTTGTTATTTGGGAGCTTCTATGAAATTCATTACTAGATTCTTCAGCTGCAAGTGTGACTTGGCACTAATGAGCGACTGAATTGCTGTGGGATATACCAGAAAAAGAAGGTATATCATAGGCAAAAAAAAACCCTTCCTATGCCCTTGCTTTTGGATTTCTAAGGTTTATAAACCTAGATGATTGGACTTACCTGAAAACATTCAGTGAAAAAGTTAAAACATAAAATAGTTACTCAACTATAACCCAAACCTTCATTTCTAAATACCATCTGTCAATAACACAAGGAGCTGGAGCTCACTAAAAAACAGCTGACTCCAGGACTGGATTGGAAAAGCACAAAAGCTCAGAACATTTTGTGCTGCCAACAAGTAAGTCAGTGCTCAAAATTTGATAAGTGCATTAAAAGACCGTAGGAACAGCTACTGCCACACTTAACAATTAAACCCTAAGTGCATTTCCTCTGAGATTGGGAACAAGGCTGAACACTGACTCTTCCATTCCTATTTATTCCTGTACTGTCAAGCCTAATGAATGCAATAAAGCAAGAAAAAGAAATCAAAGATACGTGGTAGCAAACACAGAAGTGAAACTATTTGTAGTACACAAGATTTCATACATAGAAAATCCTATGACATCTACAAAAATCCTTAAAATAAGCACATTTAGTAAGGTTGTAAAATATAAAATCATTATGCAAAAAAAGTTACTTCTATATGATAGGAATAAACAAATAAAAATAAAACAGGCAAAAAAGAAAAAGAAAATGAGGCTAGGGGTGTAGCTCAGTGATAGAGCACTTGGTTAGTGGGCCAAGGCCCTGTGTCCAATCCCCAACATCACAAAAAAATAAATAAACCTAATAATTCTATTCAAAATAGTACAGAAAAGAAGTAAATTACTTAGGAATAATTCTTTACTTTTTGTTTATTTGTTTAGGCTTTAGGTTCAATCCCTAGTACTAAGAATAGAAAAAAAAAGAAGCTCCTCTGACCAAATCTGGGACAAAGTAAACAGCATAAATATCAGATTAAATATAAGAATCCATGAACCCAAACTGATATCAACAAATAAAAGAATGAAGGAAGCTACTACTCAAGAGGCTGAAGCAGGAGGGTCACAAATTGTAGCCATCCTGGACAACTTAGCAAGACACTGTTTCAAAATTAAAAACAGGGATGAAAAGAATATCCAAAAGAGATGGAGCAGGAGTATTATGCTGCTCTGGCTTTTGTGTGGACTGGGTTCAATCCTGAGTACTTAAAAAATAAAAGAATAAATGAAAGAGAAAAAACAACTCTTCTAAGTAATAAATGTAGAATATTACCACTGGCAACCACCACAATAATAACTGTTTCAGGCAAGACTCATGAGTGGACCTGGAAACCAGTAGGTAAAAGACTATTAAGTTAAATAATCCCTTGGGTCAAAATATTTCCCCATAAAATATTTATTAATGCCAGACATGGTGGCACACACCTGTAATCCCGAACTTGAGAGGCTAAGGCAGGACTATTGCAAGTTAGAGACCATCCTGGGCTACAAAGTGAGCTCAAGGGCAGCCTGAAATGCATAGCAAGATGCTGTCTCAAAAAGACAAAAATAAATAAAATAAAATAAAATATTTATTAACTAAAATGAGAAAAAGTATAACTGTAATGGCAGAATAATCAGGTAGATACCACTTTAATCAAGTGATGGGGGGGGTCTCCCCATTAGCTCAGGTGTTTAAGTGCCTGCTTAAGCAAAGCAGTAAGGCTCAGAATTCTGTGCTTCGATCCCCAGATCCTCATGCCTTACCAGACCTGCCCTTAAGGCATCCAGAGCAGGCCAAGAAAAAAAAAAAAAAAATCCTTCTCAAGTGCTCAAAGTTACCATTACTAACATTATGGGCCTCATGATATGATCCACCAAAGGGCATACCAATTGTGCAACTTTCAGGCAACAATACACATCTTGAATGGATAAGAAAAGTATTAAACGTAGTCAAACTGAAAGTTATTCTAGAGAATAACTGGCCTGTATTCTTCAAAAATACTAAACCCATTAAAGACAAAGAAAGGCTAAAACACTATTCTAGATTAAACAAGACTAAAAAGACATGACAGGAATACAATGTATGACCTCAGGTTAGACAAAGGACATTGTTGGAAAACTGGCACACTGGTATATTAGGTAATAGTAATATAGTACGTGGTACTGAAGTAGATTAGAGTTACGGCAAAGCAGATCAAACAAGTGAGTGTCATCTATCATCTGTCAGTCATGAGAACCAGGCATATGCACAGAACACAGAATCCAAGATGAGAGCCAGGGAGATGGCTCGGTAGAATAAGCACTTGCCTGACCAAAACCCCTGACTCCAGACTCTTCCCCTCAAAAGCTCCAGTCGCAAAACTCTGAAAATCCACAGCATTAACAGTCTGCCTATCCAAACCTATCCAATCTCTGAGGATAATTTTACCTATGCTAGTGCCCAAGTCAATCTGGACTGTGAACTTGATTGCATTAAGGAACTCGAGAAAAGTGATTAGATGTTAAGGGCATTGACCTCATCAACGTACTGATGAGTCAAAGCCAAATGGTCAATCAGGAGGTGAAGCCTAGTTGCAGGATGTAAGTCATGGGGTGGTGACCCTATAGCTGGTCCCTTCCTTCTTCTCAGGTGCTTCCCTTGCTCTCTTCTTTGCAGATACTGTGAGTTGGCCAGCTTCCTTTCATGCCCTTCTGCTTTGGTGCTTCTGCCTTGGAGCCAGATGACCATGGATTGAACCAATGACTCAGAATAAACTCCTTCTTTAAATTGCAGGTGTCAGATATTTTGTTTTAGCAAAGGGAAATCCCACTGTTACAGCCAGAGAAACTACTGCCATTGTCTCAAACCCTCGAGTCTCTAGCATCCAGAACCTGATCGACTTAAGTAGGTCTCTATTTCTACAGAGTGCAATTATTCATCAACCACTGATCGATTGCTCTCCTAGATTACAGGAGGAGGCATGCCATTTGAGATCTGCAGTTTTCTTTTCCTCTTCCAACTAGGTTTTTCCCTCAGTCACCAGGGGAAATTCTGAACCATTTTAGGGCATCAGAAATGGTTCAGTCTACAATCCACAAGACTTTTTATAAGATTACTGCAACTGCTCAATAGTTATGCAAGAATATACAAGTGTCTTGCCTGGCAACAGACAGGAGAGAAGTGTAGGAATCGGGCTCATTTTCTCTTACAAGATAAATCCTTTTGGTCAAGCAATGGCCGTGACTCATCCACATGGCTAACACTGACAAAGGATCTACAAAGTGCAGTACAGGGTTACCGGATAAATCCTGAGGGGACTTGACTGACCTTATCAGATACAAAAGTTACATTTCTTGTTATATAGGTCTTGTTTTATCTTGGTCTTAACCATCCAGCAGAAAAGTATAAAAACAAGGTATATAAAGTAAAGCCATATTAATATGCTGAGCTGTAAAAGGCTCTAGTCAACAACTTCTGTGGATAACCTACTACTACTGGGCTACTGGACTGTGTTGGATTGTTTGGCTGAATTCAGGCACCTATAATATTTAGATGCCAACAGAATACCCATCTCTGACGGTACTGAACTGGAGAGGGGGCATACAGAGGAAGGACCATTTTGTATTTGTATATACAGAATAGTTAGGATAGATGTACAGTTGCTTTCGCTTGGTTCAGTGAGAGGAAGGATTTGTAGTAGTAGTGTTTGGACAGGATATCCTGGCTGCTTCTCGTGCTGTGGATGACTGCTGATAAGATAACAATGTGCAATGTATTAATTATTGAAAATGTCTTATTAATCAGCTTGGAAAATGTCTCATTGATATTTGTTTCTCAATAAAATTTTTTTTTAAAAAGGGGGGGCCAGGGAGATGGCCCAGCGGAATAAGTGCTTCCCTGGCTAGCGCAAGGGCCTGAGTTCAATCCCCAGTTCCGCCAGAAAAAAAAAAAGATAAATCCTTATCCCAGGTATGGTGGCACACACCTATAATGCCAGCACTCAGGAGGCTGAGGCAGGAGGATCGCCGCAAGTTTGAAGCCAGCCTGGACTACATGGTAAGTTCAAGGTCAACCTGAA